TATAATCTCTAGACTTATCATCTTTTCCATACCAAACATAAAAACAGTGATTCTCATACCCTAGACACCAGGCATAACATAACATTACGTAAAAGCTAGGTACCAGGGCTAGCTAACAGCAGAATAAAAAAATATTGCCTTACTTTATGATAGCTGATGTGAGTGGTGTAAGTTTATAAACTGGAATCCTCTTGTTACAGAAAGTTTGGTTTGTTTTTTGAAATGCTGTCAACTCTTTGAAAGAGCACAAGTTAGAAAAGTTATAATTAAAGTTATCTGAAGGAAATGTATCTTTTTAAAATATACTTAAGGATACAGCTTGAGTGAAATCAAGTTGCACATGGCCTGTCGGGTCTTCTAGATACCATTTACCCTGGAAATAATTATGTTAATATTTTAATAAATATGTAATTTATAATGCAATAAGATATCAAGAAATAGGTAATTAGCTGGCTGATTTCCATTTAATACACTGGGCTACATTTTAATGTTGTGATAAATACTTAATGTTTAGATCCCATTTCATTTTTGTTTAAATTTACATGAATAAAATTAGAAATTAACTAAATGTTAAATCTTACTTCTTTTAGCTGCACTAGCATTCCTAATACTAGGACATTGCCTAACTTGGATGTACTACCGACAAGATATTCAACAGGCTTCAGCTGTGGAATTTATTAAAATATTTACATTTCAGAAAGATAATTTTGGAAATATTTTTTAAAACATAGTCTCTAAGATCTTAGCAAAATATACTAAAGATTTTGTCTTTTTTATTTTCAATTAACTTTGAACTTATGTTGAATATAACTGACAGAAAATATTATTATCATAAACAAAGATCAAATATTTAAAGGAGAAAACGTACTTGAAAAGTGTTGCTTTCTGCATCTGTTGAGCCAATGGCAGGAGGAGTAAATAGTTTATTTCTGAGTGTTCTCTGAATTTATAATCATCAAAAGAAACAAAAATTAGGCATTGCCCTTTTATGATTCATGTTGCAGGTAATTATTACGGTTTAACAAATTTAGAACAGAGAACGTGCAAATCAGTTAAGTTAAATAATAAATATTGCTAATTTAAATAATTAGAGTTTCAAAATGATAATTGTGCCCAACCTGGTGCAATACAGTGTAGCGATCTCTAAACATTGTACCCTTATCAGATGGGGGCCCATGTAAACTTGGCGCTGCTTTGTCCAAATTAGAATCTCTAAAAATATATTAACGACTTAATTAATCAGCAAAAACAATTCATGAGTTTAGTCATACAATTTTAAAAGTTAGGGAATGAGTGGACATAGACCTTTTCATTTTTTCTAAATAAAGGTATCTTAATAATAATGATTAAGGCATATGATTTATATTATATATATATATATATATCAAATTTTAACAAACTCTATATTTAAGAAGACTCACGGTATGAACTTTTTTCTTTCCCTTACATACGTGAATCGAGGTACAGAAAAAGCATCAATTACATTGAAAATGGAATCACTGAAAAGTATAAGAAATGGGAACAATATAATGTATCTACTTATTAAACAAAATGATATCTTAAATTGAAATGCTTTATATTATAAACTTTTCTTAAAACAATGGTATTCAAATATTGTGGCTAATTACAAAGAATCAATTTTAAAAATATTTTTTATCTAGAATATGTGCATCTATAAAATTTTCATATTATTTTTCAACATTATTAAGTGTTATAAAAATTTATAAAAATTATAAAGCACCTGTCATCATTTTGTTCATTATTGCATTCCTGAACAGCTGATTCACAAATTTCTTTACCAATCATAGCTGATGATACTTTTAACAAATAGAGAAATTGAATAGTTGCATTATTCACAGTATATAAAATAATATATATTTATGTTTACTTTATCATCAATATTAATTTTGGTATCCATTCTAACCCTAATACATGTACAAAAAAATAAATTACTAATTAAATGTCATTATGAACGTAGTAGGTAGAAAATTAATGATTATATATTTCCAATAATATACATTTCTATAACTATTTCATTTTTTATTCTTTGAAATACTTATATGCTAAAAAGTAAGAGATCCAAAGAATTGTATGTAGGCCTACAAACAGTACACATAATAAATACTATATGCAATCATTTTCAATCAACTTTATATTTACATGATTGCTTTTGAATTATTTCAATGATTCTGTCCAGCCATTGGCCTCGATCATTTTCTGCAACAGGAGCTAATACTTCCACAATGTAACGACTGGCTTCACTGAGGATAAAATAATACTTTTGTAAGTATAGGCTTCTATAAAATACTTTTTGAAATTATGAGGAATTAGAAATGCCCCAAGGTCACCCTGGTACATTTAATCATAGTGTGTTGAAGTGATACCTTTTTTGTGAACATGCACAAAAAGGGTAAGATAAAACGCCAACAAATGTGTGCTGTTTATCCTAGATGTGTTCAACTGTCTCTGTTTAAGATAATGACAAATGATAGGCTGAGCTTAATGTTTTGATCTATTACTATTTGTTGATGTGAAATGGTTGTTAAATTTAAGGTACAGCATTAGATCAGATAAGACAGTTACAGATACATTAATAGAATAAATGATTTTGCATTTCTCTGTGTGACATCGTAAATGACATAAGCTAAGGTTTTTTGTCTCCATTTTTTATTATCTTTACCCCAGTTTTATTTATTAAAGAGGTTTCTTTCTGAGACATTCGTTTGTATTGTTTTCTTTGTTTAGTCAATACTGTAAAGTCAATAGCAATAAGAAATTAAGTATAACAAAAAAAAGTTACTCCCTAGTCCAGTGTTTCCCAAACTTTTCTATACTCCCATCCCCTACCATTTGTTTTAACAAGTCCTGCACCCCCTCCAGAAGCAACAGTGCATTTTAAAATAAGGGACTTCTATTTTTGTTATATTATTGAATTGCAAAAAGAACTGTAGAACTTAGAAAACTTGTGATTAAGGGGTGAGTAGAGCGCTTTGAAAGCTTTCCGGTGCTCAATTTGCTATTGTGGCGATGAGAAGGCGCAATACACTTCCTGTTTCCATCATTTACTATAATTTAGATAAAAGCATGCAGTTTTCACCAGCAATATTTTTAAATTAACTTATTTTTTTCTTCATTTTTACACTTTTCAAATGTCACAACAGTACATAACTAGCAAACAATCGACATGAAATTAATTTACAGGCAGAAATTACATCAGGAAATGGGGTGACCAGAAGTCGTTGAAACTTCTTGCAATGTATTAAAGTTACTACTTTCACCATGAAATTTATACATGAGGAAGGAAGCATGGCATTGCATAGTAAATTATGCTTAGTGTGCTCTAACCATCAAGTAAAGTGCTTAGGGCGCATCTTGCCCTACCCATCACTGGCATATTAGTATTACTTATACTTATTACATGAAGGAGAACGGAAATTTTTTTAAATATATAAACATTTTGAATCATATTTGAAAAGCTCAAGTCACCTCTGTTCTTAAATCCCCTTTCCCTAAAATGCTTTCTCGCACCCAAAGTTAGGAAACCCTTCTTGACTCTCTAGATAGGTACGGTACTTAAATAAATCATTATTTTGCTAATGACACATCACTGCAGAGTTATGTGCCCTTGTTCAACTTTTTGTCCACTTGAATAGTAAAAAACGTTGCAGCATATGCATAGGAGGAAAACATGCAGTTTTCTGTCATTTAATTTCTTTGTTAAATAGGTTGTGTGATAAATAGTGATATATCATGTTAAAGAGAATTGGATAATGAAAAATACTATTACTATGTTTTCCAATTTTTTATCAATAATTGTTTTGGAAAAATATATCAAGTTGAATTAAGCTAAGTCTACTAGGGGTATTTAAATTCTCATACATTCTCCACCAGTCACGATTTTCAGGATAACCACTGTTAAAATTTTAAGCTTAAGCATCTAATTAAATACAAGAATTGGAAAATAACACAGAAACTTGAGAAACACACTTTTACTTTTATTATTTGTTTAATTTAAAAATTATACTTATGTCTTATGACTTTTACATTATTATTTATTATAATTATGTTTCGATTGTGTCTCAACTTCAAGTCAATCAAAATTAACAGGAGTAGGAGTGTTATCCCCGTCAGTCCCAACATATAATTCATAATTCATGAAAAAAAAAAAATTTCTTTAAGATGGAATTGACCTGCAATCAATTGGTTGGGTTAATCAAGTGGTATCTTTAATAACTAGGTCTTAAAGCTGTACTGTAACTGTAAATTCATTTTGAAAATTTTGTCCAAAAAGATTAAAGAACCTATCGCACTGAATACTGTATAGTATATCAGTAATTAGAATTAGTGTATAATAGTGACTCAGTATATAAATTAAAATATTAACTGTGACTGTGACTAATAAATATTAAAAAGTGTCCAATTGTTATGTGTCTCTCTATATTTAGTTTCTAGGCCTTGGTTACTTACATTATATTTCGACAAGATTCCTGACGAATAATAAAATTAATTTTAATATTTGCTTATAAAATGTACCTTCTTAATGTTAATCCATGCATCTTGAAAGCTGACACAATGTTATTTTTCAACTTTGTGGCCATTTTTATTTCGGCGCCAAATCATCAGGCTTAAATATCGATAAAGTATGTCTTCAAAAGGAAATGGTATTGAAAAAAAAGCGAAATGAAAAATCAAATTGGTTAAAATTTTAATTTTTAAGTCAAAATTAAAAATATGGAAATGGAATAGATTCTTTTTGTGAGATATTAAACTTTGCTGAGGTTGATGAAATCATTGTGACTACTTCTTGGCTTGGACTATGTAAACAAAGGTTTTCTTAACTGCGTACTTCAAACAGCTGTTTGCGAAAACAATTTTAATCAATGTACGGAACTACCAAACAAAAGAGTTACATTACTTAATCTAAATACAAATTCTTTTAAGACATTTATTATTTTTAATTCCATTTTACCCCAACTCATTATTTTTAGATTAGCATATATTGTTACTTAAGTAAGTTTCATATGTTTTAATTTATAATCGTAAAATGATCTTAAAAGTTTAGGTTGCCAGGGAAACGACCTAGCGTCCTGGGTCCTAGGGCCTACGCCTAAGCTCTTACTTCTTACTAATACTAATTGGAAGCGCCGTAAGTTCGTAAGGCAGTGAGTCACCGGTAATTTAATATTTTAGACGCTCTTAACATAATGGCAGATAACTGTTGCTGTTGTCCATGTTGCTGCAAAAACACTAAGCAGCCTCAAACTGGCGAAATGCGTGAGACTTGGTGTGCAGTTGAGAGAATGAAGGAAGAAGATTGGTGTCGCAAACAAAGAGCCCACATACCAAGATATCAAGAGGAAATGAAAAGTGACATTTTCGGTTTCTGCATTGACACAAGCCAAAATGAGCCCAGATGTACTTTTGAGAAACCCAAACCTCGCCACACTGAAAGGAGACATTTCTGCAAAATTCACAGTTAGTAATGTCATAAATATTTATATGCATAGTTTTGTGTTGTTGTTTGTCAGCAAATGCGAAGATGACCAAGGCTATATTACAAGCTGAGTACACAGGTGGCCTGTCGGTCCTATATTTGTGCCTAGAAATTAAAGTGGAAAGCTTTCCAGCACATGGGACACACAGTGGGGGTCCTAGTGCCCACCAGCTAAGTGTTTCCCACTAGAGAGTTCACCAATCATTTGTCGTTTGACATTCCTGCCCATCTGGCTTGTCCTTTTTTTTTGTAGGAGCATGGTTGGATGCTGATAAAATTAGCACATTGTAAGACCTCTGTATCAGGAACTCTGTCCTGCCGCCTTATGTCCAGAAGTTTATATAGTCAGTGTAGGTGGAGATGGTTTGGTTGTCTAGCATGTCTGCTGCACACTGTCCACATCTTGCTAACATATAGGAGAGATGTTAAGATGATTGCCCTTTATACTATCAGCTTAGTGACGAGACTGAGACCCCTTCACTCCCAAACACTCTTGTGGAGTCTCCCAAATGTAACATTTGCTTTGGAAATTTGGTTTTTATCTCATCATCTATTGTTTTTGAGCTAGAGAGGGTGTTGCCCAAATATGAGAATCTTTCTACTGTTTGGAGATTCTATCCCTTCAGTGATATTTAAGCTTCTTTGTAAGCTTTTCCTGGAGCTGGCTGGTGCAAGATGTCTGTTTATTTGTATTGATGGCGAGGCCATAGTTGTCATAGGCCTTAGCAAAGTGATAGAGCATTTGCTGCATTTTCAGTTCCGAGCTTACATTTAGGGCACATTCATCAGCAAACAAGAGGTCTCAAATAACAATTTCTTTTACTTTCTGTAGTAGAGTGGCATCTGGAGGGTAGGGTGTGTGTGTTTTTGTTTTGTTTGATTGACACACTTTTAAAGACCCTGCTGGTAGCGCCAAAAACTGTAGCTGAGTGGTGTGTGAGACTGACAGTTTGACTAACATGTTTAATATGTAGAAACTTGAGAAAATCAGGTCTTGAGGACTCTAGCTTTATTTAGATCCATAAACAATGCCAAAGAAAAATCTAAAGAAAAAGTCTAAAGAAAATATCCAGAGAAAAGGCTAGAGAGAAAGGGCAATGTATGAAAAGAAAAAAATAGTACGGGTTAACAATTTCCTGATTAACATTGAATTATAAAGTTAACAATAAACATGTTACACTGTTTTGTAAAAGCATGGCCTACATTGCCATATTTTGTAATAGCTCTTGCAGTCTCCTAAGATTAAATAGCTATCCATCTGTTCTGTATCTTATAGGAATGCTGTCACTATTGTTAAGAAAATTTCTGCTGAGAATTCCATGCTAAAAAGTGTTGTGGCTAGAATGCAGCCATGTGTTATGCGCCATTTGTTACAGGAAAAGTCACAGAATCATCTCCAGAATCCATCACCCTGCCCATCATGCCATCATGGAGTTGACATACTATTCCTATATATATACTGTATTTAATTTAAATAACAATTGCAATAATCAATATATAGAGAAATAAGCACCGGGGCGCCACAAGGCTGCGTTCTCTCCCCTGTACTGTATACAATATATACCAATGATATTCAAAGCTCAAGCGACACCTTTCCAATCTTAAAATTTGCTGATGATACCACCATCTTTGGCTTAATATCTGAATGAGAAGGCTTATACCAAAACTTAGTTACAAGCTTTATCAATAGGTGCAATGAAAATCATCTCCAGCTGAATGTCTAAAAAAAAAAGGAAATGGTTGTTGATTTCAGGAGGGGGAAACACCAGATAACAGATCTCAGCATAAAAAATCAAAGCATAGAGAAAGTAGAGGCATATAAGTACTTAGGCATCACCATTAATAATAAGCTAACATGGCATGAGCAAGGTCAAATGCTGTATGAGAAATTGTTTACCTCAAAAAAACTGTACAATTTTGGGGTAAATAAGCGAGTCATTAACTTATTCTACAGTGCAAAAATTGGAAGCCTACTTAATTTCAGTATTACCTGCTGGTGTGGGAATTCAACATCTGATATTAAATACCGCATAAACCGACTAATCAAGAAAGCTAGAAACATAACACAAACTTAACATCCTTCACTTGAAGAACTATTTGAAGAAAGATGTTTTTGAAAAACTAAACACATTTTGGATGATACATCCCACCCTCTTCATCCTAGATACTTAGGATCGGGCCGTTCGGGACGAATTCTTTCCATCATGGCGAGGACTGACCGATATAAAAAATTCTTTTGTTCCCCAATCTGTACGAATTTACTAGCGTGCTCCCCCTGAAGTCACAAATCTTAATGAGAACTAATAAGTCCCTGATATGGCTAAGAGAACTCACGGAATGGCTGCTAGTGCAAAATTTATTACAAATGTCTTGTTTCAAATTGTTTTTTATATGTGCTGAAAATGTACAATGCAATCATAAAACATTTCCATTTGTTTGGATCAATAAAAGAATCTTATCTTATCTAATCTTATCTTAACTATGATATATATATTTTACTTTTTGTTTTTGTGAGCCACCGTCTTTTATTTATTTTGATTCTAACACATTAAACACTGTCAGGTGTCAGATTCTCTGCATATTGTTGGCTTAAGAATTCATAATATACATGAAATTTTAAGAACACAATATTTGACAACTTGAATACCAATACAAGACAAAAGAATGTTGTGGCTGGTGTGAAAGCCTTCATCAGCAAATACTAAAAAAAAACAACAAAAGAATAAGAAAATCAGAACTTAGCTTGCTACTAAAAAATTCTGGACATAAAGTGTTAAAATCCAACTGGAAAACGTTACTAAGGAACTATGTAATACAATTACTTTTACAGTCTCCCGATTGTCTTCTATTGTTATTCAAACCGTCACATGATCTTATTATTTCATTCAAACAACTTCTGCACAGTCTCTACTAAATGAGGATTCTCTGCATGTTATGGTCCCTCACCACACAAACCAGCCCATCAATTATGTTGAACATCCTTTCAATTTTATTCATGGTAAAAAATAAAAAATTGAATTTACATCCTTTGTAGTAAACATCTTTATTGTTTGCTAATTACGAAGACTGGTTTCGACTATTTCAAATTTATTTAAACATTACACTAATTTGCGGTTGGCAGTTAATTTCTACTATCTTTCAAATGCAAAGCAGACAGCTTTTAAACTTATTCTCATTTTACTTTACAGATTCTTCTCAACTGAACCTGTGATCCCATTGTGAGATGCTCAAAGCAACAAGATAGTCTTGGGTCTTCTTTAAACTTAGCATTATCTGTAACAGGCTATGAGAATAATCTTCATTTGCAGTATTATAAAATCAGTATTACTATTACCAGTTATTTAAAATTATGTTTCCCAAACATAATGCTATGGTTCCTACTTATCTATGTTTTTTAATCTTTATAATTTACACTAAACATAATGAGGTAAATGAGAGTTGATTTTCTTTTTTATTGGGTAAATGAAGTAAAAATTAAGTAAAAATGTCTAACTCATCCATTGTAAAATAAATAATATAGTAACAAGATCATCTGAACAACTATTGCATTGAAGAAAATTTAAACATTTATATTCTTATAACATTAATAGATTTAAATGTGTCCAATAAAAATGGTATTTATACCTACTGGGAATGATAAGAGTTTTAAAAAGGTTTTTTGATGTGGCTGTATGTCAAATGCATGATTTAGTAAAATAGGCACCTGTATATGGGCCAATAGCTCTTTGATTGTTCTATGCCTAAGGTCAAATGATACAAAATGTATTAACCATCAGAAATAAGCTATTTCCATTTGATCTGTTAGGAAATGTAAACAGAAAGTCATAATTATTTATTTAGATTCAAATATAGAAACAATAAGGAGGTGAGCTTGATGTTAATCAATTATGAAACAAATTATAAGAGCAACAAATCTGCTAAAACCACAGATTTCATAAAATATTGTTATTCTGTTTCCATAACTATAATTATAATCATGAAATAATTGTAACTTAATATTATTAATTTTTATATAAACTGAGATTTACATTCTCTGTTAAAGATAGTCCTAAACTTCCTCTTTAAAAGTTAAATCTTGACTAGCTTATGAAGTTATATTTACTTTAACATGAGCAATTTTAGTTAGTTGGCATGACCTACCACAAGTATAAGTGGTTGTTTAATATCACTTTACAATACACAAAATATACAGCTGAAATTTGGAATTTCGCTACTTTTTTAATCTTTCAGATTTTGGCAGTTTTATGTGCTTAAAGTATGATAAAGCTCAATTTGTGTTTGAATGATTATGTCTGACACTTTTAATTGAAATAAAAGGTTCTATACACACAAAAAACTAAGTCTGTTATAAATATGTTTTCATGACATTTATTTGCAAAGTGCAAAAATCATATACACATTAGGATTTTAAAAACTAGCACACTAAATTAATGAACAATTAGGAACAACTATATACACATTAGGTTTTTAAAAACTAGCACACTAAATTAATGAACAATTAGGAACAACTATTTTTTTGAGAGAAAATGTTACCAACACAGATTATAAATACAAGCTATTTTTCTTGACATTTGTCACCGCAAACATTAAAACTATTATTATCTATTGTTGACAACAAAGAGTGTTCAGAGTCATCATCAGAATCAAACATCGGATCGACATAATTGTAAAATTTGTCTTTTTTATCATCCAAATCTATGTTATTCTCATTTGCCTCATTATCAGATTTTAAAGACAGCATTTGGATTTTCAGTTCCTCAGCTTCAGTCTTGTAAATGTCTGTTAAACGTGTAATCTGTTCTGCAGCGGGAAATTTGTCGAGAAGCATTATCCCCCTTTCACCTGTGTCTGCCAACTCTTCAACAAACCCAAACCAATAAATCACTGCACCTGGACCAAATCTGGTGACAATAAAATATAAATAATTTTAATGAAAACATTTCACAATTAGAGTTTGATCTTAAAATTACATTAGAGTTTAGACTTAGACACATGTAAAAAAAAATATACTTGTCAAGAAAATGCAAAATAAATTTACTCTTAAACTTAAAGCTATTGATAAAGGTTATTTAAACTTAGTCTGATTTTCAAAATCCCTTTAAATAATAAGTGAATAATAACTGTTTTAAAAATATGTTGTTAAACTGAGATCACACAACCTCCCCCTCCTAATATTAATATGTTAAATTTTATTCATATAAAGTCAGGAACATGCAGCATATAAATCCTGGGCTGTCTACATTTAATAGAACAGAGACCCCATGTAAATGTACTACTTCTGACATCTACATGATGTCAAACAAGTATTCTGTGCAGCTTTTGTTGGTGGACCTGAGGTCACTGTGTTGGTTGTAATTTATTTAGTAATTAGAAAGACTCTACATAAAAACTATCTTACCCTTAGTGAATTCCTAATCATTTTTATAAGGCTGTGTAAGAGATTTAAAATACTTTCCTCTAGGCACTAAATTGAACCTAACTTATCTAGAAAACGAACAACAAAATTAAACCTGTTCTTGTAGGGAAGATACTGATCAATCATATATTGCTGGTGATTGATAGGATCTCCAAATGAGGCTTTACTCTCCAACCAATTTACTACTCTGTTATTTATCACTGCAACAAATAAGTAAATATATATTTATCATAAAATGGCAGCATAATAGAACTACTTAGATTTAAAAAATTGTTTAAGAATTCCTTTGCTTGCGTCAAAATTAATAAGTTTACTTTTTATATTAAAAACAAAAGACAAATTCTTAAGTTAGGATTCATAATGACAGTGAAAATAATAATATGATGTTAAAGCCATGAGAATAGGATAATGAACCTCGAGTAAAATTTTATGCTTACTTATTGGAATCTTCAGCTTAATGTCTGGAGTTTTGTCATAGCCTTCTTCCCTTAATCGGTCTTCATCTAAGAAGATAATTTTTGTATGACTTAAAAAGGTTGCGCATTAAATTTAAATTAACAACAAAAATTAATGAATGCCTTTAATGTATTTTGTATATTAATTTTAAGTAGGAGTTCTATCGAAATATTCAGTTTTAAAAAATGCTTAATTACATACCAATGAAGGACAGACCGGCATTTTTACAATGTGCTTTGAGGATCATTTCATACTCAACACCACAACTCCTGAAAAATTTAAAATATTACAAAAAAACTACATTTTAAAACAAATTGTTTCCCTTTTCTACTTTTCTTTATTTTTTAAAAAATAAACAGAGACAAGGCTTGTTACGAACTCCTGTATTGTCAGTTTGATAGCTCAGTTGTTATCTAGGGATAACAACTCTAACCACAATTAAAAACAAGCAGCAACACTAGGTTAAATACTTCATATAGTGCTTTATTCTTCTTTCAGTTCTCACTCTACATACAAACTGCTATTCCATAACATAACGTCATCTCTGGTACCCAAAAATGTCACCAGTACAAACCACATAGCAAGAGCTACACAACAAATCTCTGGATCAAATACACTCACTAAAATGTCAACAAAACAAACCACATAGCAAGAGCTACACAACAAATCTCTGGATCAAATACACTCACTAAAATGTCAACAAAACAAACCACATAGTAAGAGCTACACAACAAATCTCTGGATCAAATACACTCACTAAAATGTCAACAAAACAAACCACATAGTAAGAGCTACACAACAAATCTCTGGATCAAATACACTCACTAAAATGTCAACAAAACAAACCACATAGTAAGAGCTACACAACAAATCTCTGGATCAAATACACTCACTAAAATGTCAACAAAACAAACCACATAGCAAGAGCTACACAACAAATCTCTGGATCAAATACACTCACTAAAATGTCAACAAAACAAACCACATAGCAAGAGCTACACAACAAATCTCTGTATCGAACACGCTCACTAAAATCTCACCAAATACAAACCACATAGTAAGAGCTACACAACAAATCTCTGTTTCGAACACGCTCACTAAAATCTCACCAATACAAACCACATAGCAAGAGCTACACAACAAATCTCTGTATCGAACACGCTCAGAAAAATCTCACCAATACAAACCACATAGCAAGAGCTACACAACAAATCTCTGTATCAAATACACCCATTAAAAATCAAACAATACACAAACCAAACACACACATTCATGGAACAGTTCATTAACAATCCTGATAAATACATATTTTTCTTAAGTTATGATTATAATCTCCTTAACATTTACATTTAATTGATAATTATTTTTTTTTTTGTACGGGCTGATTCAATTTGTCAAAACTATATACCTAGAATAAAAATAAAGTCACCAGACTGATTACTAACTTTTTAATGCTATCAACAGCCGGCCCATAGAAATTGTCCATAACTGTAGTCTGAAATATATTTAAAAATTGTCTTTTTCAAGTAAACATATTTAATTGATTAAAACAACAATATTTGCCCATTAAATGGGTTACTTTTGATAAGAGTAATGTTATTAATTAAATTAATTTACATAAAAAACCAAAGCAAAGTGTACATCAAATAATTGACGTTGATAATCTCTCTCATTAACCTCATAAATTTCCTGTGCCAGCTCTGGATTTGGAAGCTTAGCTATATCCCGTATACAGTCAGTCATGAAACCAGAGGGCACTGAAATTATATAAGGATTAAAATGTACAAAAATTTTTACAAAGCATGTTAGTAATAATAGTATGAGATGTTCAGCAGATTTTTAATATAATTTTATAAGTTTAGTTTCTGGCATTCAATAAGATAAAATAATAACATAAATGCTAATAATAATGGTATTTTAAAAGTATCTACTTATATTTAATTTGACAATGATAATCGCATTTTTAAATTTTCTACTTATATTTAACAGAGCGGTTTTGGAAGGTCAGTGCCAAGAAGATGGAGCCCTTTGCACACAAAAATTTACACCAAATAAACTAGTAACTTACAAATATAAAATTCAATGAACTAATATGAACCTTAGGAATCAAACTAAAATGTCAACATTCGTGCAAAGGAGATAGCCTGATTTGCAGAATTGATGCATGCAATTATTTTTTGCATTTAGAATAAACATGTCTTACTTGCAGAACTTTTTTTTTTAATGTTACGATTTTTGAATAAATAAGACCTGACAAACATTTGAATGAGATTCTGTGTGAAAAACTGCATAAAATATTGGGGCACCTGGGGCTGCTCATGCCTTTTTTGGAAAATTTCAAGGTCACATATTTTGTATGCATTCATAGGGGTCAATCGGTAACCAAAAAAAAAAATTAATATAAAATCCATCAATGGAAGCCACCATATAATGGTGAGATGAGCAAGAAATGTGAAGCAATCTGATTACCAGCCAGCCCATCTCAAGGACTTTATAGATAGGCCATTCAACTTTCTGGCCATTCGATTATCGGTCCAGCCATCTCAAGAGGGTTAATTGAAAATAATAATGGCATTTTAAATTTAATACTTAAATTTAATTGACAAAGATTTATAAAAATTAGACACATGACTTTGAAAAATTACACTTACAAGAACTTCTGCCTTCACTTCTATCTCTCCCATGATTTACATCGTTCCAGTAGTATTCTTCAAGTATAATTCTTGCTAAAAGGCAAGGTGAAATGTCATTCTGAAATATGAGCATGTTAAAAGTAACGGTTTAATTTTTTCCCCTAATTCAAAAATGATTACTGGGTACATTACAAGGTGAGAATAAAATATTAAATTTTATTTGTTATCAAAGGGATAAGGGGTCATAAACAAAAATAATGTCATGCTGTTTTGGCAAAGTTTTTAAACACACACAACCCCCACCCCCCATAAACCAAAATGTGCTATTTTTCTCAAAGCATAACCAAATTTGATTCTGTAACCAACTATGAATATATAAAAAAACAGATTATTTATTCATACCTTTGCTGCTAGTCTTAGTATAACATTCTTTTCGTTCCTTGATTTTGCCTCTTTGTATCTATTTGATTAAAAGGAAATAAAATATTTATGAAAAAAGTTACCTTATAATTCATAGTCATGTAAATCAACCATTAAACATTTTCTAATTTTTTTTAAGTCTGATTTTTTTAACTCTTCAACTATATGAATGCTATGTTTACCATTATAAAAAGATTTAATAAAAAATTATTTACATGTTCATCAATTTAATTTTTTTTTTTTTTAAAGTTGTTTAAAACAATCTATTCCTGAAATATATTCAAAGGAAGTCTTTTGAAATTGGATCTCCATTTACTTAATAAGATATTGAAACTATCATAATATTATCAAATGACAAAATTGATTCCTAAAAATTTGGATCACATACAGTTTGTAATACTTTTCTCTGGTTTCTCTGCTGTAATGATGATGATGGCAACGTCGCATTCGCCTCTAGAAGATAAAAACAAGCATTTCTTTTTGCACCAGCACAATTAGGAAATTACTAGTGCACTTTTATTTATGCATCTGATTGATTCAGATTTTTAAACTTTAATTATAAGTAAATATTTTTTGCTTTAAATTTTTTTTTTTTTAATCAAATGGCTATCATCCACCATGCTTAGATACTAAAATTACTATTAAAAAGACACATACTAGTACATACCACATAGTACTGTGCTTGCATGCTCTTAAGTGTTTTCTCATCTACTGTTTGTCTGAAATTAATTTTTTTAAAGATTTTGAATTAAGAAAATCAACAGTTTCAATGAAATTAAAAGATTTTGTAAACCAATTATGTTTTTTTTAAAATGATTAAGCTTTATATTGTTTGTTAGAGAGTAGTTTAGAAACAAAGTGGACACATTTTTGAATACTTTTAGAGATTTTAAGACAAAGGATATGTCCCGAATCTGCAATGATAGGATAATTAGCCTATGATTTTCATAAATTCTTATGTTTTTCTAATATGTTCCACGTTTCTTCAGGGAGCTTTAATTTTGCAAGTATTTTTGCATAGATGGGCAGTTTTATAGCCAGCCAATTTTGGCCATTGTATTCTGCGGTTGAACTCTTTGCTCATTAATACCAGGCTTTCACAGCTAATGAGTTCATGCCACACAGCTCTTTACCCCTACTTGGACAGAGCCCTTGAGTCAGACTAATTCAAACCTGGAGGCCGGCAACATTGCCCTGGTATTAGCAACCTGTCATGCACTAAGGCACACTTTATAATTATTATCCCTACATGGTAAAATCATATTTTAGTGTCCCAAATTCAATATAATTGTACTTTATTATATTAGTGTTCATTGTTATTTTTTAAAGAATTTTTCATTTTATGATTTATACGACTTGTACTTTTATCATTCAAATAATAAAATTCTCTGCCTAAACAACAACCTTTTAATGAATTGTGATGAAACAAAAAAAAAAGCTCCAGCCAACTTTGATCATTTACATTAACATTTGTGATCTATTCAAAGACCTCATGCATCATTGTGATTTTTATTTTTAAAGGAAAAATCAATGTTTGGTTGAAATCAATAACCAGTTTTAAACTTGCAACTGCAACTCTTTAGCCGATAAGCCTAGACCTAATCTACTAAATTCTATTCTATTGCTATTAGTACATATTAGTATTTCTTTCATAGCCTACTAAAATCTGTAATTTCACCAATTTTTCTTCCACAAAAGGTTTTAAATCTTTTTTTTAAAATTAAATCAGCGAGATCAGATAGATTTACTTTCTATACATCAAAAGAAAGAACAGCATCTGCCGCTTCTTATGGTGGTAGAATTATTCCGATAACTTAAAAAGGCATGAAGCTGTAAGCAATCAAAACACATGGGCTATATTAGCACTCATAAAATGCCTTAAAATTTGTCAAAACTGATACTTTTCAAACAATCCTCATCCTCATATCCCTTAGTCCTTGGACCGTTGGGGCACCACAGAAGACATGAGAACCATCCTCCTCCAAACAATATTGAATTTAAAACACAACTTAAAGATACAAAAATAACATATTTCACCAGATAAAGACTTAAATTATATTCATATTACTATTACACTCACTAAAGAAGTAGAAGTGGGTTAATTATTCTTTAACTTTAATTAAAACTTCCAAACATGACCATGAAATGAAACCAAGTTTTTTCCCCAGTGTAACTCAGCCCTTGCCCTTAGCCTCTAGTATCTTCGCTTAAACTTACTTAAAGCCAGCTAATTATTACTACTATTACTTCTATTACTTCTATTATTATTATTACTAATAATTAATAATCCTCAATCTCAATCTCGTAGTCAGTAGTCAGTGTCGTACACGTACAAAATTTCAGGCCATTTCTTTTCCAGATGTCTTCGGCCTTCAATAAAAGAAGGTTCTCTGCTTAGAATTTCTAGAATTCCATCATATGTTTTCTGATTCATCATAACTAATGCTTTCTCTTTCAACCCAGCTAGATTGATCAAGAAATACACTGCACTGTATTACTTCTATTTTCTATTTCCTTACAATCAAACAATGCTTAACAGTTTGACCCGGATATTTATTTTTAAAGCAAATATAAAACGAATCGCGTGAAAGTTAAATAAAACATTCGAAATAAATAAAATCTAATTTTGATTTTTTTTTTTTTAATTAATTTTTTTTTAAATTTTTTTAAATTTTAAATGTGTGTCAATAAACTTAAATAGTGTAAATTTTCTGATTCATCATAACTAATGCTTTCTCTTTCAACCCCGCTAGATTGATCAAAAAATACACTGCACTGTATTACTTCTATTTTCTATTTCCTTACAATCAAACAATGCTTAACAGTTTGACCCGGATATTTATTTTTAAAGCAAATATAAAACGAATCGCGTTAAAGTTAAATAAAACATTCGAAATAAATAAAATCTAATTTTGATTTTTTTTTTTTTTAATTAATTTTTTTTTAAATTTTTTTAAATTTTAAATGTGTGTCAATAAACTTAAATAGTGTAATGAAAAAAATAACCAGAAATTAATAAGTGTATATAATGGCAATTACAGTGAATTAGAATATTGTATTGTATTCACAAATGATGAGTTCGATGAGTGAGTAGGCCTAGGCCTAGGCCCTGTGTCAAAATGTTTAGACCACTAGCCAACTAGGACTAGGGACACTACTTACGATGGAAAATCATATGCGAAATAAAAATTCTTCTTTAAGACTACTTGCCTCTCATTGTAAGAGGGTTGTGTCTTTAATCTCGCTTTTCATTTGACTGGGTGCAGTGGAAAAATCCTAGGAAAAATGTGTGGGGACTAGTCTAAGGACGCCCATCCCGATATTTATTTCTTAGCAACCCAAAAAAGTAAGATTCTAACCCTGATCGACTAGATAAATGTAGCCTCCCCCCCTTCCCCCCACCCCCACCCCCTTGCCATCTCGGGGTTCAAATGGTTAGATTTCAAACTTAAGTTAAATAAAAATTTGGTGGTTGCCTCTAGGACTAGATGGAAAGTGTCTTGTACAAAGTGGCTGCATAGGAACATTCCGTGCAATACTATTAATAAAGTAGTTCTTATAGTGGCTAATGGGCCCATGTTTTTATGGACCTTAGGCTTGGGGCCAGGGCCGGCTCAAGCTACCGGCAACTCTGGCAGTTGCCCGACGCGCCATGTGCTTAGCCGTAGAGCGCCATCGACGATCTTCCATAATAGGAAAAGGCATTCCATGTGGGCGATATTATGGAAGAAACATTATGTTTAGTGCACACTGTTTGAATTATATGCGACATAAATCATATATTCGTGAAGAGAAAATGGCGGCAAAGGTCGCTGCAGACAAAAGCAGACGCTTCTTCTGTAGGTGCATCGAGTTCTTCTCTCTTTGCTACGGCGCCCGTGTTTCCTAGCGACTAGGGACTTCGATATTTCGGTGGCGGTAGGTTTCTCAGCGTATTGCTTAAAGTTGACATCTGTTTGGCGACTTTGGTCGGTGAGCGGTGGTGGCAATGAGCGTTTGCATAACCGTCACTGACTTTGCCGCTCACAGTAGTTTGGAATGGAATTTTGAGGTGTGCAAAGTACTGCATCTTCACCGCCCTGGTGCGAATACACTCGGCGTGATCCCTTGATTTTTTAAAGTTTAGATTTAAAAAAAAAAAAAACAGATTATAAACAATAGATTAAAGTAAATTGATTATAATGGTAATTTGTGTAATATATTCCACCCGGTAAGAAATGTAATCATCTCTCTTTGCAATAACTGTGTAATTCATTACTAATAATAATAAAATAATAGAAAAATCCGAAGCAGATCATGCACACATCAATTTGCAACACAGCGAATCATTGTAGAACAGTCCATCGAATGGAATTCATTCATATCTATACATTTATCGACTACGAAAAGGCTTTTGTTAGCCTGGACCGACAAACCTTGTGAAACTTCTCCGGCATTGTTGGGTACCAGGAAAACCAGTCAAGATCGCAGATGCCTTTGAAATTGAAACAGACGCCAGACAAAGTTGTCTTTTGACCCCCCCCCCCCTTTTCCCTTTCCATTCATCCTTTTCGTTAACTTCCATGGATAACGAAAAAAATCCACAGACAAAAAGAGGAAAGGAATACACTGGAAACCCTGGGAACAACAGAAAACCAGTAAAGATCGGAGATGGCTTTGCAATTGAAACAGCCGCCCGACAAAGTTGTTTTTTGACCCCCCCCCCCCTTTTCCCTTTCCATTCATCCTTTTCGTTAACTTCCATGGATAACGAAAAAAATCCACAGACAAAAAGAGGAAAGGAATACACTGGAAACCCTGGGAACAACTGAATGACATAGACTTTGCAGGTGACATTGCACTTTTGTCCCACAACCAGCAACAAATGCGGGTAAGACTAAAGATGTAGCCGCCATTTAAGCACAGCGTGGACTCAATATAAATAAAAGCAAGACAAAGATCATGAATGTAAACCTAACCAATCAAGAGCATATCTCTCTGGCAGGAAATGCACTGGAAGAAGTGGATAGCCTTCACATACTTAGGCAGCACCATCGACATGAATGGTGGATCTGAAGCGGATGTCAGGGTTAGAATTGGAAAGGCTATAGGTCAGCATTTGTGCTATTAAAGAAAATATGGGAATCAAAGGAGCTGATTCTGAAAACCAAAGTCAGAAATTTCAATAAATATGTCTAAACAATCCTACTCTGTGGAGCCGAAACTTGGAGAACAACAGCGAGCATCACGCAGAAAGTACAAACCTTCATAAATACATGCCTTAGAAAGCACCTGAACAACAAATGACCAAACACTATCACCAACAAAGACTTACTGGAAAGAACGTAACAGGAGCCTATTGCTTAATACACCATAAGGAAAAGATGGAGGTGGATAGGGCACACTCTTTGCAAACCCCCAGATAACATCACCAGACAATCCCTAACATGAAACCCACATGAAAAGGAAAGAGAGGAAGACCTAAGAATACATGGAGACGCTAACTGGAGGCAGACACACAAAGTATGGGATACACCTGAGAGCAACTGGAAAGGAAAGCACAGGACCGAGATGAATGGAAAATTCTTGAAGACGACGTATGTCCCAGCGCTGTGTATGTCATAGCCTAAACTAAGTGTTTGGTGACATTGCAACGACAACATGTTAATTGGAATCCACTTCTTTTTTCTTTGGTACTGTCAGCGCATACTAGATGGGGGTGACTGGGTGGCCGAATGGTCTAAACTGAGCAAACCTCAGTTCCAGCCAAAGGCCGGTCGAGCAAAAACATCACCCCGGGTGGGTGAGACTCGTTAACCTTGGTCGGCAACTCATCTAAGAGAAGGAAACTCTGAATTCAAACCCGGAGTTGGAGTCCATTAAGGCGCATACAATGACAATTCCTGCAACCATACCCATCCCTGGTCGTCTTGACGTAGAGTCTTGCCACTGGATATGGTCTCGGGTTGATCCTGTAGTATAGGCCAAAACGTGTCAAAGTGTCCTCGTTTTATAGCCATTTAATTGTTTCTATAGTATAGTAGTTACTATCCTAGTGTCTCATTTTTATTTTACTTAGTTTACATGTTTTTAATAATTGTAAAGCGCTTAGAGCTTTAAGGTAAGCGCTATATAAAAATGCCTAAATAAATAAATAAATAAATATGGTGGGCCCGGACGAGAGAATGAGGTTGACGTCGTGCAACTCTTCCTCACTTTAAATATAAGTCACTAGCGCAAGTCATCAGTCACCGGACGACTCGATGGTCATCGTCGATCCTCGACGGACGAACAACTCAACTCAAGATAGGGGTGCAGAATTGAATGTTTCAAAGCCATTAAATATGAAATTACGGGAATTCGAGAGCTCTTTGTGAACATTCAGTAATGTCTGCGTCTTATCTTGTAGTGCAACATGAAGCAGAACACTTGTATCACAAATAGATGAGTGTGGTTATGTAGTGAAGATAAATGTCTGGTATGTTATCTAATACACGGTAAAGGTTGTCAGCAAAACTATGCAGGACACCTCTGTGGGGCTACACTGCAGTTTTACTAATGGATACTGTTACTGATTACTCAATTGGTTATGGTGCAAATAGATTTTGAAATGCGCTAGAGTCAGTCCAAAAAGTACCCACTTAATTAGATGCGGAGCCCATTTTTATAAATAAAAGAAGGAAGAGAATGAGGCTGTTTGAATATGAGTGCACTGACTAGGTTCCAAAAGCAGATGACCCCGAGTTCTTTTTTTAAATCACGTGTTAAATGAAATAGTGGACAGAGCTATACATTTTTTTTTAATCAAATAGATTTGAATAGTTGCAAGGTTTTAATAACACATGAGGATTTTTGAAATGAGTAAAAAAAAAACGCCAGACAAAGAAAAGTTCAAAGAAGCATGTCAAGCAGGTTTGGAGAGTAAGTTAAGGTATCTAGAAAATAGCGATAGAAATGGATGTGATCTGTTGACCAAACTAAATGTAGCCAAATAATTATTTCCTAATGATGTAAAGCTTCCATTATAAGCCGCTATATTCATACTCACTAATAAATCACTGGATGTCGTGCCAAATCTTTGGGTAGCATTAAGAATATTGCTTAAAATAAAAAGATAATTTGCTGATCTAAAAGCTAAAAACAAATGTCATCGGAAGTCTAATTGCACATACTGCTCAAATACAAGTTAAGAAACAAAATTATTTTTAATTGTTTGTTTAAAAAAAGACCTGAAAATAAACTCATTATCTAACAAATAGTTTTTTTGCTTTCAAAAATGTGTTATGACAATGCTTAAAATAGAGGCGTCAAAGTAAAGCTTGCCCGTGGCACCAGGAACCGTGTAGGGCCAGCCGTGGCACCAGGAACCGTATAGGGCCAGCCGTGGAACCAGGAACCGTGTAGGGCCAGCCGTGGAACCAGTAACCGTGTAGGGCCAGCCGTGGAACCAGGAACCATGTAGGGCCAGCCGTGGGACCAGGAA